AACATGTTGAATGGTAAATCATCGGTAACCAGGAACAAAATCCTCTGATTAAGTTCCCCTCCTCCATAGGAGAAGATGCAGACCACGTCCTTGACGTAGCCATGAACAACCATGCGCTCCTTGTTGGCTAGAGCAGAGGCCACAAACCTACTTAGCCGCTGCACCTGGTCCCCTAAATGCAGCCTCTCAACACAGTCGCGACTTATGAAGTTTCGCTTGGAGCCATTGTCTACAAAGGGTCCATACTTGTGGCCACCTACACTGACCTCCACAACGAAGTGTTCCCCTCTAGGACCTTTTGACATAGCCACCCAAGACTCCAGAGGGTCTCTTGATGACCACTCCATCTCTAAGTCCACTAAGGCCTCAGACGCATCTAACGTGTCGAGTATTATTTGGTCTATAGATGTGTGCGCGGGGTGATAATTGAGTCAATAGTTTTGGCCAACTCCTGAAGTGGTGAGGGAACACTTTCCACTTCACCATGAGTAGAGGAAACTATAACCTCCGATGTGTTTCCCTGAGATGTGCTCGTAGAAGCACCACCCTGAGGGAAAGATCCTCCAAAACCTCCTTTAGGTGGGATCTTCTGAACACCTTCGGGTTCTTACGCTTAAACTGCTGATGGCCGTACTCGCTGCAGTTAATGCAAGCACTTCTCGAATATCAGTCTCTCCACACATCTTGATCAAGGCCAGCCCTCACCCAAGCCGGAGCATAGGGCGAGTTTCGGGCCCTCCCTTGACTCTTTTGTTGGGCGCCCTTGCCGCATCCAACAACCTTTCTCTCGTTGCTGCAGTGAGGTTTCCACACCCTAGACTCTCGTCGCTGCCTAACGTTGTCCATTCCACAAGATCGGAAATATCATTGATCTCAGTTTGATTCCTATCAGAATCAACCATCATCAATCGACTACCCTTTTTCTTCCACTCTTCTGGAACCTTCTTTTTCCTACTGCCCGTAGCAACATGCACCACTCCTCCTAGCTTCGCCTCTAAATCCAAGGCCTTCTTGCTCAAGGAGTCTAGGTCGTGATTTTCAAGGCTGGCCTCACTGACCATCGAGTATTTGATGGCTGTGGGAAGACATCGCAAGAACATCATTAATAGGATCTGTGGATCATAGAGCACGCCAGGGACAACGATCGACTTCTCTACGACACTGGTGACATCCCGCACGGACTTGTACTTCTTAGTATCAAGTCGAGCTAATGCATCCATGGCTTGCCGAGCGTGCTGAGGGTAGTGCCATCGTGCTTCTACCAATTGCATAAAGCTTTCTAGTGGTTGGGTCTTAGCCCAGTCGTTCATTCTTCTGCCATAGCCCCGGGATGCGACTATCCCATCTAGCCATCTTGCTGCTGAACCCTCGAGGTAAGATGCAACCATAATCACTTCCTCTTCACGCAACGTGCTCTTGACCCTCACCCATGCTAGATGTCCTTAACCACGTATCGAGGGCCTCATCCCTCTTGTCTCTAGAGAAGATATTAGGCGGTTTCAATGGGGTCTTTGGGAACAATTGTTGCTGTGGTCCAGCAGAACCATGTTGCTGCACCAGTTGCTGGACCGAGTTCCGCCCTGTAGCCGCAGCAGCTGAACCTGAGGATGAAGAAGCAGCAGTCTGTGCAGCTACTGCTGACGTACCACCTGGTAGGATACCAACTGCAGAACGAAGGGGCCTGTTATCCTCGGATATGGGGACGGTGATGGAAAGACTGCTTGGGGTCTGATACTACGCCCGCCTGTTGTGGAAGGGACTGGTCTACCTTCCACTGCATGACACTCAGTATCTGGTCAAGGGTTGACTGGATATCATCCAGTTTGCTGTGCATGGCCCCGGGCTCAACATGCCCGCCTTGAGCACTTTGCTAGTGTCATCAAGGACCAAGTCATCTAACCCTTCTAAAGCAGCCTTATTTGCCTCTCTGCTCTGCAGTCTAGCCTTCTTATTCCTAGCTTTTGTCTCTCTTTCGGTAGCATCTTTGAGATCTTTCTCTAACAGTAAGCGGAGAAGTTCAACTTGTTGGATCTCTATATCCTCTCTAGTGAGCGGAGGTGACCACTGCGAGCTTGCCATGTGACTGGAAGAGGGTCCTGCACTCATCCCACTGGATGAAACAAAGGACAGCGCGAAAGTTCGTGAGTCTGCTGACCTTGAGAAGTCGCTGCAGAAGTAGCCATGGCATCAACACTAGCTGCTGCCGCTGCTAACGCACATTCTGCTGCTGCTGCTGCCTCCCTGGCCCTCTGCAAACGTTCAGCCCTTGCTTCGGCCCAGAACCTTATCTCTATTGCCCACACTTGGGCCTACCACAGTGCGTCTGACCGAGTTGAAAAATAAATAAAAATAATTAATTATTTGGTAAGTCACCCAGGCTACCATTCAGGTGGTGTCCACAGAATATACACACACTGGGCAAATGATTTTACTCCTACTTTGGTCAGTTTTCCAACAGCAGCAATAAACAGAACTGGAAATTGTAGACTGCTACAGTTCTAATCAAAAGCTGTCTGTCAGGTGTCAACAGTCCGTAACTCCTCCACTAATCAAAAATAAAAATAAATCACTTGCACAGATGCATGCGACAATGGAAATAATAATAATAATAAAATAATAAAACAATAATAATAATAATAATAATAATAATAATAATAATAATAATAATAATAATAATAATCATCATCGAGCACCATTTGGAACCTTCTGTATCCGACGTCCTGATTGCATCAACAGAGCAGCGGTGTCTATGGTGTGCAAACGGCCCACCCCTGTGCCCACGTAATGCAGAGCAAGCAAGACTCATCCGTACTATTTTTATCCTCACGTACATCGGGAGTTGGTTTCCTCACCGGAGTATCTTTAACGACGGTCCGGTGCACGTTGATCCCGCATAAGACAGACTCACCCCGCACCCCTCTACGCACAGCAAGAGCTAAAAGGACAATGCAGCAAAGCATGCGTGCTCTACTCCCTTGGGTTGGTGTGGTGGTCGTGACCCGTGCTTCGTCCAGCGCCTTTCAGAGGCACCGCCCTCTCCCACCAGATGTGCCACCAGAAAGAATGTTGATTCTCAAGGTAGAGTGCTCACGACTCCTGAACCAGAAGAAAACTCTCAAGCCAAACTCTCTTCCTCATGGTAAGAAGAGATTGAGACGGGAAGATAAGGTAAGGGAACAACGTACCTGAAGATAGCTGCCCCCAACCACAGATTTCTCACCAATTGAGCCAACGTGCATCTTGATGAGCGGTCATAGCCTCGGTACCACCAACAATACAATTCAGCTCCACCTCAGCCAAAATGCGATGTCAGCATGCCCTCATCATTCCACATACACCTGCTGTCGCCACAGCAAACTATGCTGTTGCCACAGCCTTCCAGTCACGCTCCCCTCTACCCGGTAGTGACCAATAGAGCCAGGGTCAAAGTATCCTCACTGCGCAGAAGCTTCGTCAGCGCACCAAGCAAGCAAGACACCAGCGCCAGTATGACGATATCTGAACCAGCTCCGATACCAAATTGCAAGGAATATGAGCGAGAGTGATAGACAGAAAAACAAATTGCAATACCACGCTGTAGTCCAGATAGTTGTGCACCGAGATACCAGCCAAATTAGAGCAATGCAATGAACTCAGATGTCTATGTTGACACTCTCTCGCCACACCAACATAGTATCCGATGTTGCTCTCATGATTGGCGCACAGCGCCCAGCCTATCCTACTCAGCCTACCTACCCTACACTACGTTCATGTAACGGGAGTGTCTTCGAAGCTGAAGACCAATGTACGTGATGACGCCACGAATGCAGACTGCCAGCATAAACCAGGTACGGTTCTCTTCTCTCCCCTCATCACCCCCCGTCTCCCCACAGCATGCGCTTCCTCTCCTGAAGACCACCATCACCATGACCGGCACGCGCCCAAGCAGCCCGGCTATGGCCTCCGCGCGCCAGCTGCCACCGCTGCTCCCTCTCACCTCTTGCGGCTGCGTTCACCTCCCTCTGGCCAGCGCCCAGGCAGCCTGCCAGTGCGCAAAGCAGCAGCGCGGCCGTGGCCGCACTGCCCTGCAAGGCCAGAATGTCCCTGGCTGGGCTCTCACCTTCCCATATGGAAAGTGAGGCCTCCCTCTGGCTGGGCTGCGCCTGGCGTGCAGGGGCCCGGTAGCACATGTTAGGCCAGAGCGTCTGCACCCAGGCCCATTCGGACAGTTGGCTGGGCCCGCAGCATGGAGGCAGCCCAACTGGGGTGTACTATCATCGACCATCGGGCCCCCGCCACGTCACTCCCTATGATCTCTCATTGGCTGAGAGCCTCTGGCCACCTCACTGCCGAAGTGAGCCCAGAGGCTCTGCATGTTGTTCTCACACAGGCGGGGCCCTACAACCAACTGGCGCGTCGTCTGGCACCCACTTTTGCAGAAATGACGAAAGTGAGGCCCCATATCAAAATCAGGCCAGCCTTCACTTAGGGCAGGCGCGTTGCATGCTGGGGGGCCCTTGGACATCAGGAAAGGAGAGTTAAATAGTGGAGGATTTTTCTTTTAATCGAAGGAAAAAAAAGAGGAATTGAGTTTTATCAACTTTATCCGACTTCAGTGCATCATTAGGGGGGAGGTCCCACTAGCAAGGAGGATTGGATTGGACGCCTGAATCTGGACGTGTTTGTAAGAGAAATGCAGAAAACTGGGATTGATCTGCTTTTCTGCATCTCTGCACGAAAAAATCCAGATTCAGGCATTTCATCCGATCCTCTTTGCTAGTGGAATCTCACTTTTAAATCTCACTTTTCTGTATCTCTGCATGAAACACATACAGATTCGGGCACTCGATCCAATCTTCAGTGCTGTGGGAACTCATCATGCAGGCCGGTTATACTGGAAACAGTAGAATGTGACATGGTGTGTGACTCTTTTCAATAATTGAAATAATATATATTTTTTAAAGGAAACATTGCAGCCGTTTTCTAATTCTGAAAGTTCGGCGAGTTCCATTCGTTCCGTTTTTTATATTTTTGCTTTGTTCGTGACGTCATAACTTGTCACTGTTCCCAGTAGATTACTGACCCATGCTTCTTTAGGGCTTCAGGCCCCACCGTGCACGCACAGCCTCGAACTGGCGCCCTCACCGAGTGCCACTGCTTTTGCCCACTACTTTTCATGTGGTTCTGTTAAAATGGCCTGCTTGGGATGGTCCTGAAAAACGAAAGAATTCAAGTTATTCAACCAACAAAAGAGGGCCAGCAAAACTATTTGCCACAGAGAGAAGTTTCAGACACACTAATTCTCAGGCTCGCACACCGAAAAGCATCAACGGCAGGCCCAGCGTCTCACGAGTGATCAGCTGCAGAGCTGCTAACGTACATCCGCCTGCGAATACGATCGTGGTCGGGACGTTGCAGATGTCCGCAATGAGACGGACATTACAAAGTTGATGATTTCCACCAAGAATTTGATGTCCTGGCTGTGCTAATTCCATGCGAATTAGTAAAGAGAAGCATGTGCCCATTACTCTGCACATTGCTAAGTTGCACCAAAGATTAGATATCAAGTACCTATATCCTTGTGGTTTGTGGAAAACAGCCATCTCTGCACAAAATTTGTCATATCAGTTGTTCGGACTTGTTCCCTATCTCCAGGAGAGATTTTTTTAATAGCACCTGTCAGGCCCAGTCATACCGGCCAGAAAAATAGGATTGTGGTTGTGTTTATTTTTTCTATTGAGCCTACGAGTCTTTGCATGTGCTTTTCTCTCAAAGTTCTCGCTGAATATTGTTCGGTTGTTACTGGATGAGAGGCTGACATGAAATCGAGACTGCAATTCTTCAATCTTCTTTTTTGCCCCCCCTTTTTTCAAATGGGGTAGCCCCAAAAGTTATCATATCTTTCTCAGGGCATACTCATGCTAACACTTTTCTAAATGTATCTGGCCGCAATTGCAGCCGAATCTGGATGCATCTGACTGCAATCAGGTCCAGAGTGGAGTCGGAAAAGTCTTAGGGTGAGTACGCCCTCATTCCATCAAGTTTGAGCCCATAACCTGTTCATGAACAGTTACAGCCTCCCAGGTAGCCACATGGCTTTCGTGAATGCCTTTACTTGCGAGTTGTCACTTCAACGATGCTGAAACAGAAAGAAAAACAGACAGAAAAAATCAGACGCAAAAGAAACAGAAGTGAATGGTACATCCATATCCCAGCAGGAACAATAATAAATTGCTATTGATTTTTTTTTTTTTAATACTAAATTATGGCTTTCGTGAATGCCTTTACTTGCGATTTGTCACTTCAATGATGTTGACAATGAAAAAAAAAAGGAAAAAAACAGAAAGAAAAACAGACAGAAAAAATCAGACACACAAAAAAAAACGCAGAAGTCAACAGTATATCCAGCAGGAACAATAATAACTTACCATTCAATTTTTATTGATTTATTTCTACTACATTATTATTAGTAACAAATTGGAAAGAACATGGCGATCATGGAAGCCGTGGGCATACGCTGACCCGAAAAAACGACACGGCAAAGTCGGGCTACTCTTCATCGAGAAGGCCGCGAATCCCGAGTAGCAAGTCCTTGCGAACTTTGTTTTTAGGTGAGTGTCGTGACACGAGAGGTCACTTTCGATACAAAAAGACGCCAGCTAACTTACGACAGTGTTTCTGGTGACCTACAATGCTAGAGGATGCTAAGAAGTACGTAGAGACCTGCCAGATTAGGTCGAAGAGACAAACCTTAGGACTCGAGCACCTCTTGGGCATCCTGCTGGACCAGGCGAGAGTGTCTCCATGGATTTCATGGGCACTCTCGCGACCAGCAAGTCCGGCAAGAGGCACATATTTCTAATTGTGGATAGATTCTCCAAGTACGATAGGTCAGTTGCACTGCACGAGACCTCAAAGATGGACCTGCTAATCAGGATGTCTATGGAGCACTAGGCAAGGGATCTTGGTCTGCCAAATACCATAGCGAGCGACAGAGATGTGAGGTTCACTTGTGCGTTATCGAAGAAGACGGCCGAACAGATGCGCTCCCAGTTGCCCATGACTTCTGGTAACCATCCTGAGACTGACAGGCAAGCAGAACAGATGACCCCCGTAGTACAGCACATGCTGAGGCACTCCATCAAACCCAACCAACAAGACTGGGATGAGAAATTGCCTCGGGTTGCTAGTCTGTATAACAATGCAGTACACAGCACTACAGGCTGAACACCTAATCAGCGACACTTAGGTTGGGAGTCTATGAGACTTTCTCCTACCTGATACGGGACCGACTGCAGCACCGGGAAGTATAGAATTTGGGATAGAGTAAGTGCTGCAGCAGACTGTGGAACAGATTCAGAAATCCCACAATGCCATGATGGCGTCTATAGAAGAGAATCTGAGTTTTAGGCTGGGGAGATGGGTAAGGGTGAAGTCTTCTGAGTCTATTGTTACATGCCCAGTTGGGCGATGTACATATAAACCAAGGATCCACAATGTGATGAAAAGGACTGAATGGACAATGCAGTGCAAGTGAATCTCAACAAGCAGTGTACATCCTGATACATACAAAATGGTGCTTTACAGCGCAGTGGAAGACTTAGATACAAGTCCTGACCTGACCGGGACTGACCTCTTTCGCGTAGTACAAGATAGCACAGCAGAATAATACTAGAATACTGATGACTAGCCCAATCAATGTTACAACGCAGACCAAACATACATCATTCTCACCACACGGTGTGAAGGGAGCCTGGCGCTATACACAGGAAGAGGCGCCAGGTCCAGTTCATGCACAGACGAAGAGGAGGGGATCAGACGGAGAAGAGGAGGGGAGAGATGGGAAAGTCGTCAACACCAAGTCTCGTTACAAGTCCCAAATAATCCCTCGTCAAAATGTCGAGTCTGGATCCAAATGTCACCAAGCTCTCTCTCTCTCTCATAGTCTGCTGATGCAGTGAAGTCAGATAACGAGAGGGTGAGAGGGAGATGGTGGACTGAGAAGAGGAAGAAGAAGAACTCTCTCTCTCTCATATGCCAGGTACTAACCTGTGAAGGTGGCGCTCTGCTGCAGGTACCTCAAGACGAAGCTGGAGCGATGGCGCTGCAGGTAAGTCCCCCTGACCTCCGCCCAATCTCTCTCTCTATAGTACTACTCTAGCTGCTATGGCGCCCAGCGCTGAAGACTACAGCTAACGCTACTACTACTCCGGCAGCGCTCCTCCAGAGTGCTGCTGCCGAATCCTGACGACTACCTCCTGCCTCCTGAACTGCACGTGAAGTGCCTGGGAAGTACCTAGGAACTCCCTGCAGCCTGCAGGGCGGGCCAGTCTTATATAGTGCTGGCCCATCCAGGAGGCTGCTCTTGCGAAGGCCAAAACGTGCCAGACCCTGGGGTTGACGCTCAAACAAAGGTTGTCTTGAAAATAGGCCAAAAATGGCCTGAGCTAAAACCCTGGTCTGGTGCCTGAGTTTCAGGGCAGGTCGATCTTATGAGGGCCTGAAAATGGCCCTCCGTTTCAAACTGAAAAGACTCAGGTCCGGAAAGGCCCTGATTTAGGCTGAAACGACACAGGGCCTGTAGGCCCTTGTTTTCAGGCTTTCAGGCTGAAAACGACACAGGGCCTGTAGGCCCTTGTTTTCAGGGTTTTAGGCTGAAAACAACACGGGGCCTGTAGGCCCTTGTTTTCAGGCTTTCAGGCTGAAAACAACACGGGCCTGAAAATGGCCCATGCAGCCTGTTGCAGGCGCAGCATGTAACACCTATGCAGGAAGTGAACGTTTCTCGCCAGCTGATGGCGCAGTAATTTGGGCCATGGCATGTCCTAGACATTGTGGGTTCTGACCTTGATGGTCAATCATACGTCATCCGCGTTCCACCTCATGCCTCCAAAATCCTTCCGTCTGCAGAATGGGATGAGTTTCCTTCAAGGAGACCCATCCATGGATGGATACGTGGACATCGACCAGATCATAGAGTATAGAATCATGTCGTACGTAAGTCTGTCAATAGAGGACGACCACACAAAACAACAAATGCAGTACCGGGTCGCTTTCAGGCATCATACGGATCCGAAAGACTATAGGTGGTTTGCTAGGGAGGAGCTGATGAAGACAGCGCCTCAAGTCCTATCTACGTATGGGAGAATGCTGAAGGGAAAACAACGGGTAGTCAATTAAGGAACTCTCAGAGGACTATCGTATCGGAAGGGGAGGGAGTGTGGAGCATAAGGGCCCTTGCGCCTGCTGGAAACTGTCTGCGCCCGCCCTAAGTGAAGGTGGGCCTGCTCAAAATCGAAGGGGCCCATGCTGAGGTTGTTTGCTGCGTGCAGCATCTTCAACCAACCGGTAGCCCAGCCAGTTGAAGATCTTGGAGCCCTAGCAGAGATGCTGAGGCCAGGGCACTTACAGTTGAGCCCCAGGCACATTGTGGAAGGGCCCTGGGCGCAGCTACTGGGACAGAGGCCGCCCAGCCAGAGCCTGCCTCGCCCAGACAGGACAGAAAGCAAGTTAGGCTCACTCACTTACACATTCTGGCTGGCTGGACGGCAGCACTGCTGCTGAAGCGCTGTCTTGCTGGACAAGAGTCAGGCCAGGTGGAAGAAGGGTGCTGGCGGGGCGGGACTGTGGAAGGGCACAGCATCCATAGCCAGGCTGCTGTTCCCATAGTCGGAGGAGGTTGAGCGGAGGTCCATGGGCGCGGGACTGTGGAAGGGAAGACAGGGAGAGAAGGCGATGTGAGGAGGTGCGTACCTGGTGATGAGGAGCAGGCCGCTTCGTTCGGAGTCTTCATTCGTCATCGGGCTGCTGTACTTCATGGAAGACCTGTTGTAGACAGGAAGTCTAGGTCGATAGGAGCTGTCTGGTTGTAATCTGGGCACCGAGCACCATATTAGGAGAGCGACATCGTTGACATCGGAATTGGCAGCGAGAAGAGGGCGTCATTATCATTTGACTTCAATGCTTCGCTCTTGCTTATTCGGTGTTATCTGGTGGTGCAATCTGCTTTCAGTTCGGGCTGAAAGATATCTGGATCTCTATGGAACGCTGCAACTTGGTTTATCGTCATTCATAATCGTCCATTTCCGTGCATCTGCTAAGCTTTATGGCATAAAGTGGGAGCATGTAACAGCCACCACTTTGACAACAATTTGTTAGCTTATCCGTCAAAGATCTGCAATCTCAATCCATAAGGAATACTTATTCATTTGAATGATTTACTCAATAATAATTATTTTGCGAGGATTGAGCTCTCGCAAGGCCCTTCTCCGGCATACACACGTTCTGGGCTAGGCCCCCAGCAAGCCTCATGCCCGGCCTAAGTGAAGACGGGCCTGCATATTCGTGTGAGGCTCACTTTTGCCATTTTCCGTATGTGGCCCATAATGTGGGGGTATCAGACAGTTGCAGCACGCCAGTTGGTTACAGGGCAACATGAGCCTTCGCTGGCTCTTTCCAGAAGCAGCAGCTGTGTCGTACAGTTGAGCCCAGGGCTCATTCGGTTCAGGCCCTGGGCACACGCATTCAGAGGTGGACATGTCAAGCAGCGGCCACGGACCAATGAGGAAGCAGCTCCTTCGTCACACATGCCACGAGCCAATGGGATTGCAGCGAACACCTGGAGCCTCATGGGCTACCTGGATGTGCCTAACTGCACAGGGCCCAGGCCAGCATCTGAAACTCGGCCTGGACGCAGATACTGCGGCCTGACTGGAAGCTACTGAGATGAGTTGAAGCTAAGTACCAGGCCTTGACATTCCGAAGCAAGCAGGCCATGGGCATGTGGTACCAGTACCAAGTCAAGCCACAAGAAGCAGAGGCTGGGACGAGTTGAAGCTCAGTCGAAGTCAATATAAGGACTGGCCAGCCACATTTTGGACAGATTGCTCATTCGCGAGAAGTTAGGAAGTGCTGCTGAAGCACTTGTGCGCTATCCGCAAGTAGCATGCGCGCGAGAGCCCTGCTGGGCAGCACTGCACTGAGAGGGAAGACGGCCATAGCCGCATAAGTTAATAGTAGGGATAGAGCTGGGTAGCACCGGATGTATTCAGAGTCGAGATTCTCAAGTAGGGAGACAGTAAGAGGAAGAGAGAATGAGCACATGCATGAAGAAGAGAGAGAGATAGATAGAGAGAGAGG